ATTGGCTGTTTTCAACTTTTACTGCCTTACTGTACATTGTGCAGACATGATGATCCATAGGAAGGTTCCTGCGTCCGTGATTATTACATTGGAATCATCACGCGACATATGCAATACAAGGGTCAATATCAGCCACTCCAGAGCCCTTTTTACGGAACTTTCTTTGTCAATAAACAACCGCCTCAATTTCGATAATCTACAGGTCAGCGCTGACGAAAGGCCATCCTCTCAGGATTGAGCTGAGACGTCACTTCTTCGAGTACTGTGCACTACAGCTACGCTAACTAAATTTCACCGCCTCTCGCGTGTTGGACCATCTGACTCATTAAGCGTGTTATCAGACATCATGCACTCTGGACTCTATCACGCAGCGAGACATGCATTCATGCTGGCGAAGACATGCACCCCCACGTAATCGACACACCGTTACTGACGCTCTCTCGAACGGCCGCGTTGCTATGACACAAGCAAACGGCGAACTCACGGCAACTTGCCCTGTGTACACAATCAACCTCCTCTCTCATATAACTGACTTCTAACATCGGGCGTAATGAAATTATTGTGTGTAGTCATGATTGATTTTACACCCTTATCTGTCATAGATCCGTTGGTGTTTCGAGAGAATTTACTTCCCATCATCAAGAACACTCCTCGGCTCTGGCGACTCTTCATTGGTTGTTTGCAACATTTACCGCCTTACAGTACATTATACAGATATGGTTATCAATAAGTCAATACCCGCGTCCGTGGAAATTGAGATATTTGATGTTTCCATTAGTATCACCACAAAACATAGGCAATAAAAGAGCCTATAATAGACGCACTTCCTTTGTCAATCGACAACCGCTTCAACTGCGTTAGCCAGATACCCCTATTAATTTTCTATACTGGGAAAGGGCTTAATTGATTTCCAGGCTTTTTTCCTATATCCGGATATTTTTAAACAAAACGTCTATTTGAACAGTCGCTTGGGGCTTCGTAAATTCTTGCCGTATAATTAAGGCGTTAGGAAGAAAAGGGGTGTGTGGCTCATAATTTTTGGCAAAACGACAAAAGCAGATAGACAAACACAACGCACTGTAAATATATACTCTGTCGTATTAGAACATTGAACATCCTTTATCAAGTGCAAACATTAAGGCACGGCGTGCTGCAAGAATAGTACGATTGTGGATATTTTGTACTTGCTCTACCTAAAACATGCAGGATATTTTAAGTGAGAAAGTTTATACTAATTAAGTAGTCATTTATGCTGAGAGTAGTTGCTGCAATTGACGAGAAATATGTTCACCAAGACTATACCCGGTGGGTCCGCATTATATTGTAATTTTTCCGCTCGATAATAAGTATGGCAGAGCAGCCTAAGCAATCTACTATAAACAGAAACATATTTCAGAAAATATAATTGGCAACACGCTGATCCTTTATTACTGAACAAGCTGTGAATATCGCGCCTTTTGGAAGTGAATGTGACCACCTTCAATTCCTGTTTTCGATTTGTGGCGAAAGGTGCATACATTTTTGTGAGCACCCTCAACCACAGTCATATGCCCGATAGTACCCAACAGGACATGAGGCCCGTGGCTCTGTGGTTAGATCATAGTTAAACTTATAATCAAGCGGTGGCGGATTCCAGCCCCAGGAGTTGTAAAACCTGAGGTCGGACGTAAGTAACTGGTGAGAGGTTAAGTCGGAAATTTGCATTCCGGTCCCTCTTGTCAGTTATGTTCTCCTGCCTATGTGACTAGTTGGTCGGTGGCTGCTGAAGCTCGGATTGCGCCCGATGTTCATGTTCTGTCAGCGTCATGATGCCCTGTGAATGCTAGCGTCCTGTCTGAGAATGCCTAGTTTTCAGAAAAGGTTAAAGTCAACCAGCGGAGCGTGTCTTACGGAATGTGGTCCGCCAGGGAGGAAGCGAACATTTTGGGAAGGACGCTCAGAAAAAGAAGTTACATATTTTGCACGAGTGTTGTTTTACGGAACGATAGTAAACATAATTCAACCGTCTAGTAAAAATAAAAGTAGAAAAAATCGCTAATCAGTCAATTGAAGGTGAATGAACCAGATCTTTAGCTCTATAAACACACTTGTTCTGGAGCGGCTGAAAGTACTCAAATATGCCATTTTTACGCATTTATTTAATACACAGTTCAGCATGGTTCTATTATAAGGTTCTGTTTCCTAACTTAATGGCAAGTTATCCTTTTTAATAAAGTAAAATTGAAAAAACACCTTTGACTGACACCTTAAGGTCCTATTCGGTTATTCTTTGTTTGTACATCCAATCAGTCCTACGCACCTGCAGAAACCAAAATTGGTTAGATCGCAGTTGGTAGCCAGGACCCGTATTACAGTTTGCGAAAGGGGTTTGCTTACTGGGGCTATTTTGTGGGGCTCCATAATTACATCTGACCCATCTGGCTTCCATTTTACATTTGAGGTTAGTATTAGGGTAGCGGTTAATGGTTTACGATTTTCGGGTTAGGGTTATGCCTTTAGGCTTAGGTTTTCGGGTTAAAGTTAGGGCTTGAGCATGAGACTACGGTTAGGTTATTCAGTCACGGCTATGTCTAAGGTCTACGGTTACGTTTACGATTTCGGTCGGAGTTAGGGTTGTCGTTCGGGTTGACGGTTAAAGTTGACGGTTGAGTTTAGGGTTAGGGTAAGGGGTAAGGTTAGTATTAGGGATAAGGTCGCCGTCCGCTTCCCCATTCTTGGCTACCAACTGCGATCTGGCCCCAAAATCAATTTCTTTTTTTGTGGGTGGCATTGGTCTGCCGTACTCCTAACACAGTTTCCCTGTATGTCTTAATAAAATACAAACTTCACATTTGTCCTAAATTAATTTTAATGAAAATAACACCCAAATCGATTGTCCGGAATGACGTTTGTTTATAAGAGGCCGTTGTATTATGCTCTCATCAATGTATATGTAAGCGTTTTTCCCTTATACTCTCTTGTCTGCTATAACTGAGCCCGTCAGTTTTCAGAATATTTGACGCCCAGAACAGAGTTCATGTCACTCTCTCTCTTTCACAAATAGAGATTTGACTACGAGAGAGTTTTCGATCCTTCAATCGTGGCGCGTTGCGTGTTCAACTCTAATCTAAGCCATTGACCGTACTGAATGATTAAAAGGATAGTCTTAGGAACGGCAAGGGGGGACGACAGAGAATGCGGGTAGATTTATACAGTACTCTTTCGGGCTTATTTTGCCTTTATTCAGCCAATCATAACCCTGACCACCAGCAGCTAGGACCAGAAACACAAACATGCGCACAGACGCACCTGGCGCAGTTGATCCACCACTGGGGTCTACCAGATGGGTCATAAGCACTTCATCGAAACGAAGCTCATCAATGCCTCGCCACCTGTCCTTCGTTGTCGCTGCAGATCGGGTATTCATTCAATCAGAAATGGGCGCACACCGATCTATTGGTTTCCCGAAGCAAACAAGCTCCGTGTGGGTAGCAAAGGTCACGAACAGGCAACCAATTACCAGGCCGAAGTCGGCCGAAGTGGTCTTAGAAACATATGTAGAACATAAAATGGAGTGCCTACACTGTGAATTGGAGAATCCATGCAGCATAGTTCACAAGTTTGACGTCGATTTTGACGTTTTGCACCGTACGCTACATACCAAGGTGCAGCAGGCACGGTAACTGGCGCAGAAATTATTTTACAGTGACTGTAGACTTGTGAAGCACATACGGCACTCTCTCCTCCCCACTCCTTAGCTGCTTCGGTATTAAGACAGAGTCAAAAAGAGCAGAGATTAGAGGGGCGCAGGTGGCTGGCACGGTCGGAACCGCACCTAGGCATGCCGCAATAAGGACAGGTATAGAGCAGGTCCTCATCATTGCTTTAGACGGCGGTGGTATTGCTGCTTGTTATTTGGCTTGAAGATTGTTGCGCTTAACTTCGGGTAGTCTAAGAAGAAATCTGGACGCTAGGTGGTCTGCGTCTGCAAGCAAACGAGTGACCTACACAGTCTGTCATGTGAGCACAGCACTGAAACCCCTACAGCCCCCAAGAATCACTCATAGCCTATGCCGTCCCTCCTGCCATAATTATCACAACACGACGACCACATTACGTGGGAAGCGTAGCGAGTGTTAGTACTCTCATATTTTCAATTTGTATGCTATTATTTTGGCTCGATTATAGGTTATCGAGAACACCTGTTTGTCAAGCAGACTTTTAAAATAAATTATTATTTACCAGTAAATTGGAGGTAACTGAATAAACCACCGCTGGCTACTTTAGGTGAGGTCAGTATCCACGGTATTACGCAATGAATGGGCATGGACGGTGAAGAATGACAGGAGGTGGCAGTTGACACAGGTCGTGGCAAGTGAAGGAAAGTTATTCTGCTTGCAATAAAATAAGCAAATGCTAAACACCGAACAACCGATGTAAATAGAATATGACGGCAGCCAGATGCCACTCAGTAGGGCGTAGTGTGTGTTCAACAGCACTTGTAAGGCAAAGGGGACAAATCGGCAGCGCAGGTAGAGACAGTATCAGTATCAGTTTATTAAGAGAAATATAGGCATGTGCCTTTGAACTCCCTGACTAAAAGTCGTCAGAGAAAATCATTGATAAATGGGAAGGCGAAAAAGGGATTTTGCACATACTCTCGGACAGCTGACAGCTATTTGAAAAGAGTAATTATTAACAGTTACTTATTAATTGCAAGTAGTATAACATGTATAAGATGGTACCGGGTTATGTGAGTGGATGTAAGGGGGGTAATCGGGGAGCTTGATGCGTGTCAAGTCCACACTTGAAGGAATTCACACACGAGGAGGTTACAACATCGGTAGGCAGGGCATTCCACGCTGCAACCACTGTGTTACTGATAAAGAACTTTCGTCCGTTGATTCTTGATTTCTCTGCGCGTAGTTTTAGGGGTTGACCGCGCAAAGTGGGCCTGCTGGCTTGGATGAAATAATCAGTGGGATCTAAACAACAGTCTAGGCCGTTGATGATGCAAAATGTTAGTATAAGTTCAAAACGTTATTGCCTGTAGGAAAGGGGAAGCAGGTTGAGAGTTGACACTCTGGTTTCATAGGGCAGTGCTCACAGACCTTGGGCATTTTGATCGCCCGTCTCTGGACCTTCTCCAAAACTATATAGTCCTTGGCAGTCCAAGGTCTCCACGCCTGTATGGCGTATTCTAGATGAGGTCGCACAAATGTGCCAAATATTTTGGAAAAGCAGTCAGGGTCAAATCCCATAAATGCTCGCCTAATGAGTTGCAATGTGGCCGTAGCCGATATAGCAGCCTTCGCGCAGTGCAGTGTCGGTTTGAGTGACGATGTAATCCATACACCCAGGTCCTTCTGACTGTCAACCTGTTGCAGTGGTGTGCCGTGTAGAAAGTAGGTGCTGGGGCTGGGGGCTCTGAAGCTGCCGAGTTGTAGAAGGTTGCTCTTGCTTATATTGAAGGGCATAAGCCAGCGCTTCGACCAGTCTTCGAGCCTGTTCAAGTTTGCTTGCAGGTGGTCTGCGTCTGCCGCATTGTGAATAACTTTCCACAATTTTATGTCATCGGCAAACAGGGTGACATCGCAGTCTAGGTCCTTGACGCGGTCATTTATGAAAACGAGGAATAACGTGGGACCTAGGACTGAGCCCTGTGGGACGCCACTCACCGCGCTTACATCTGAGGACTGTTGACGCCCGACTTGCACTCTTTGGGACCGTTCAGCCAAAAAGCTCTGGATCCATAGAAGAAAGCGTTCACGAATTCCAGCGTTGCGCAGTTTGTATAATAGACGTTGTTGAGGAACGCTGTCGCGAGCCTCTTTGAAGTCGATGTAAATGGCGGGCACCACACTACCTTCATCGCGTGCTTTGGTCCATCGTTCGAGCGTCAAGAGTAGATTCGTGAGGCAGGACCTACCAATTCGAAAGCCGTTTTGTGCATCGGAAAGGAGATGGTGATGCTCGAGGAACTGCATCAAGGCTTTTTTAATGATCTTCTCCGTGATTTTGCAACAGATGGAGGTAAGACGCACTGGCCTATAGTTATTCGCAGACGCACGACTTCCACCCTTAAAAAGCGGAGTGATGGTAGCGGACTTCCAGTCAGAGGGCAGACATCCAGTAAGAAACGACGTTTGGAAAATCAAGGCTAACGTCTTGGACATTTCGAGAGCTAGCTCCTTCAGCAGCTTGGTCGGGATTGCATCAGGGCCTGTGGAGGTCGATTCTTTTAGGTTTAGTAAATCATTTCGAACAAATGTTTCAGTGAAGAAGACGGCTTCGAGGGCAGGTGTTTCTAAGTCTTCATAAGCGGGTGAGAAAAAATCAGGTTCACTTGTCACGACTAACCGGAAGAACTGAAAGAGATATTTAGCCTTATCCTTGTCATCGGAGATTTCCACACCCTCAGCCGTTCGCAGCAGTGGGACAGGATCTTTGTTCCGTGTGCTCTGTATTATGTAGCTGTAAAGGATTTTGGGATTAATCATGACACGGTTCAAAAGGTTCTTTTCAAAAGCTTTCCGATCTCTGGCGATGAGCATTTTGACCCGATTTATCTGTAACTTATAACTGCTTAGGTATTGTTGCGTGCGGTCCGTCGGCATTCTTTTCTATAGCTTCCTCTTCTTGTTAACTTCCTTATTTAAGGACGGAGTCAGCCACCGTGCGAGCTCGTTCAGAGCACATTTTGCTATTCGGAGTGGGAATTTGCTGCAGGAGACTATAGTCCCAACTATAGTTCGGAGGAAGGTATTGATGAGTCGAATTCAAGTCTTAATTCCGGCAGGCTATAAGAGCGTACAGTAAGTTCAAATCTCGAAGTAACTAAATTCCTTGGAGAGTGAAACTTAGAAACCAAATTTGAGGAAAACTGTGCTAGAAGATTAGCATTTTGGGAAGACAGTTTGGGGCTTGTTGGAATATCCCAACAAACTGGGAAGTTCAAATTAGTCTGCAGACAAATTTGGTGTCTTCCTCAAGACCTGATTGCTCGCGTAATCAGATTGGAGTCAAGCTGTCTTCATGCGCCTAAACATGACGCCAATGTGCCATTGGTGATGCGTTTACGAATACTCGAAACTTTAACTTTATAGTACATGATAATTTGCTTAGGCCAGCATGCCGTCTTCTGGCCTGAGCCCAAAACGGCAGCCTATAAAATCAGCACTAAGTAAACAAACGACTTCTAATATAATATGCGTTGTTTCGACCGAATTTCGTTTTTCTCTTAAATCGAAATGTATTTAGATTTATTCCTTCATTAGAATAGCACATTGCTTGTCTGTTTATTCAGACTGTTTATGCAAAATTTGGAAGACATTTTTGACGTTCGACGGATGTGGTAGGTCATATCGTAGTTTCATTCGCTCATAAAATATGCAAAACGCAGTTTAAAATGCCTAAGCCTAAGCGCAGTTGCGGGTAAGGTTCAAAATTATATCGGAGGTGGAAACCCACTAAAACACATTCCTTGGCAATAAAATTCAAAAAATACGTTACATATTACCAAAACAGAGAGAAAAAGATGAAACTTGTAAAAATTGCTAAAAAAGACTTTGAAATACAATGAATAAGGCTCGTCCAAAAGAAAGAATCCTGGCGGGGATGAAATGTCATAGGAGTATTCCACACGATAGTCAAAATTAAAAAATAATCTTAGGAAATGCATCTCAGTGAGTGATTAATGCGAGAAATATGGTTAACAGTTAATGGAGTAGAACAGACAGCGTCCGATTTTTCATTAATCAGGCAGAGAGGCGCGCACGCATCGCATTACAAAAATCAATAGTCCGTTTGTGCCTAGCGGCTCTCTTTCGAGTCCTGCCAACAGCCACGCAATGGCGCATAACATACAAAGTCGAAGAAAAGCGAGACTTGAGTGGCCATATCTGGATTGTCTGTCGTCATCAGCCAGTCACACGCAACACTGAGATAAAAAACCGGGGGTGGTCGAACTCGCGGCCTGTTGATTAGAAGTCCACAGTCCTAAGTTCTGAGCCAAGGGGTCGCCGTTTTGTCGGTTGTGGTCATGTAAGTTATCAACGACATATGGGTGCGCACCAAACGCATTACATAACCCGCTTGCTTCGTTCCGACATGACGCCAATCCTCGGGCCCCGCCAGCCGCCGTACAAGCCAACGAAGCCCTGGCTCAGTGGTTGAGTGCGCTAGACTTCTAACCAATAGTTCGCGTGTACGTGACTCAATGTCCGTAGGATTGGGTATGGGCGGCTGACGTAGGCTAACAGGCCGATACTGGCCATTCAGGTCTGCCTTGTCTTTGCCGTTGGTGCGGTTTTCACATGACTGTGCATTTTAAGCTTTCTTTCTAATCCATCCCCGTGGAAATTACATCATAAGTACTTAAATATGGGAATGTTAAGCAAGAATATTAGCTTGTCATCAGATCGAATGCTCGCACAAATTGTGGCCAGCAAGGAAAACTGGGGGAGGCATTAGATTACATATGTAAGGTGGCGGTCTAAGCATCCGGCATGTAAGGCTAAGTGACAGAGTTGCAGCTGCCAATTCTGAGATGATTTATTTTTTCACTCAACAAATACCGCATCGATATTCTTTTGTAGGCGTTGGTTTGGCAGAAGGCACTGTAAAACCTAATCGACCGAGACCGAACTCCGTACTTCCTATATTACATGGTTCAGCCTTATGTTCGCAGAACGACTGTGGGCACGTCGTGCCTAAACGCGTTATAGGAATGAGTTTGCACACAATTGCATTCACTTTAGGGTAGTCGTGTATATAACCGGACTCCCATAATTTATTGCATGTTGCATTCGACCCTGCAATCATTGTTTTGCGTAGGGAAGTTGAAAATTTGTCAGCCGCATTTGCGTACACAGCAGAATGCAAAGGATGGATTGTGGTGAAATGCCAGTCCCATGCAAAGCCCCCATGCTAAATTAATATACAAGGTATCCTCATTCGAATTCCCGCTATCTGACCTTCCGTTTGATTGTGTGAAATTGGAAAGAAGTTTCGGCCGTAAGAAATCTTGGTTCTTATCGCGACTCCTGTCAGCGTAAACACATCAACCATTTAAAGAATGGAGCGGCAAGAATGCGAACGGCCTTTAAGTAAGCTCTTTTTGCCTTTGTAATATACATTCATTCCAGATAGTGTCGAGAACTGGATGCATTGCTGTTACTGCCAGTCTTGTAAACTCAAGTTGCTGGAGGAATGGGTGTTAACCATTGAAGAAAGATTGACAGAAAATTTATGGGTTGCTCCAATCACCGGACACTACCTTTTTTCGATTGTTTGTCTAAGTTGACCGAACACGCCCTCTGAGGACATTCAACATGCCTGCCTGATAGATGGATGCTCCATTTTTGCAAAATGGTGCTTAGGAATGCAGTCCTGTTTGATTTATTTGAAGGAAAGGTAGATTTTGAGTTTTGAAGTAAGGAGGCGTATTATATCAAACAATTGAGTATGGAAGCAGCAAACCGATACATAATTTTTTGTAAACCGGACAGATTGACGAATTAATCAAGTGCCAAAAACATTAACATAACAAAACCATAAACATTAACATTTCTGCGCAGTAGTCAGTCTATCCATTATTGTGCTATAGAGATTTGGTAAAATCTTAATTATCTGAATGCCAATAATTACACGCAATCGACTTGGAACAATAAGTACACAAAAAACGTTGCTGAGATGGAAACAGTGATATCATGACATTAATACATTGTTGAAACGAAACGTAAGGACAATATCGGTTGGGTGACATTATGATGTGTAATGATATACTGATCCAGGCTGTACCTAAAAGCCTCAACGAAAATGAACGTGACGGTATCTGCAGGGAGCTGATGTGTTCTTGTTTTTTCTAAGGTGACAGGACAAACCCTTTATTCTTGTGAGAACATATGTTCAAGCCACCGTATTCAGGATAGTATTGCAAGATATTCCAACAATGTTAGGGTCAGGGAAATTATTTGCATGATGAAAGTTACTGAGGCTTCGTTAATGTTGGAGTACGGTAGCGTGTCCAAATTTGTACTGATATTTTGCTAAAACTATTAGCTTTTTCCTCGTTCCGTTTCTGAATTAGGCAGGTGCAGAAGCAAATCTACACGAAAATAATGTTATGTGTGCAATAATTTACCGTACTAACAACACAGGTATTAGCTAAAAGCCCAGACACGTGTGTTTCACCGATCTTGTGCCGCTGCCTGACGCAGCTGCGAGGGGTTCGGCTCGTAAGTGGGTCCCCCAGCTTTCCCCGTGTGTTTACTGATATATGAACTCCAAAAACTGGAAATAAATATTCGGTGATGGTCATTTCTGTGATAACATGTAGAATTTTCCAAACAGCAGGATAATTTCCGTCCTTGCCTAATTAGTGCACTTCAGGACACTGGATCGCACATATCGGCTAATATAACTTTTAAAAATCGATAAAATATACGGTTCTCTTAAAATGCCCTTGTGTTAGCAAGTTAATTCTCACGAGTAGCACTAGAGAGAAAATCAATTTACAAGTACGACAAGCCCTGTTAAGCTCTCGAGAGCAGAGTATTTTACTTTTAATGGAAAATATGCTCGGATGCGCATCGAAGTCTAGGACAAGTAAAAGCATAGGAAATTGGACAAATGTACCGCAACGTCTATTTTTGCTCAAGTTGATGAACATTTTGTTTGAGAAAATCACGTCCACACGATTTTCCACCAAGAAAATGACATTCCCTCGGTGGGGGTTAATAAGTAAGCAAAATGCGCGAAGTTTTACACGTCCAAGCATTCTCACGTTACCCATTTTTGTCAGGTTTCATGAAATAGTTCACGAAATGCATATGTTTACTTCGAAATCGTTTTCGTAACTTACTTTCGCAAAAAGACGGTCATGTAGAGGTTGGGCTGATGTGCCTTAAACATGGGACGATAACGTTTTTGTGTTGTCATTGCCTGGTCCAATTTCATGTAGTTTTCTCTTTTGCCATCCGCATTTAGGTAGTAAAATGAAAGTTTCTCCGCTTGAAGGAGATAATATAAACATAGTAATTTCGCTTCGCACAGTGGTTTATAGCAATTGCTGGTTGAAAACGCATTTTGATTGTGTTTTCAATTATGAGGGTGTTGATACAGGAGAGTTTCTAACACTGAGTACGGCGCCAGTGGTTGCCCGAATCTGTGTGCTACCACTACCATAAGCAAAACGAGAGGTCGACTGGCAGCTACCATAACCTTATGGGTGTACGGAGGAGATTGCCAAAATTTACGGTCCGAATGATTCAACATTTTGTCCTGCTCGCGTACGCACCGCTTAACGAACTTGCGCCGATGGCCATTTTCTTTGAACACTCTTCGACGGTATTGCATTTCGACAATCTTTTCTTCCTGCTCACTTCAACGCGCCAATAGGCCGTCCTTACACCTCTGCGTGTGCGACCGACTGGGTTGTTGGTGTTGTAAATCGGTACCTTCGTCGTTGGTGTCGCTTTCCTGAACGCTCAAGACCTTAGGCCACTGCAATCTTTGTGGCAGAGGAGGGCATTAAGGAAGGTCCGTTGGTTCT